AAGTTGTATTCAACACTCTATCTCTCACTAAGCTCAGAATACACTCAAATTATTACCTCATGTTCCTTTAGCTTCTTGTCCAGCTCTGCGAAATGATCTTGTGAATCATACTGACCAGAATGATAGAAACATCTTTGAAGAAATTGGTCCATTTTTTCCCCGCAATTCTCCCTGAAGTTCCAACAAAACAATTCGTCACACATCAATCAACTTCACCCTTTCCATATCCAGCAAGAAAAAACCAGTGAAATAACATTTCCATCTTCTCAAGCAACGCATTATAAGCAAAAGCAACCACATTTCACAAAAAAGGCCAAGGCTTTTGACTCACCTCTTGTCAATTCGGCAAGTAAGCGTCTTGCTAACCATGTCCCTGAGCTCGGCATCGGTCATCTTACTCCGAGCATAACCGTAAATAGTGAAGTGCTGCAACAAAACATTTACGTACTCATGTATCACCGATCATTCAAAGTCTAAGAAATAATGTAATCAAACGAAAGAAAAAGAACAAAAATTGCAAACCTTCGGGAGGAAATCCTCGTAAAAAAGTGCGAAAAGTGCAGGGAATATCTTCTTCTTGGCAAGGTCCCCGGAGGCTCCAACCACCGTGATACTGACAGTAGATTCACTTTCATTGACATTAAAGACGGTCGTGTCTTTAGATTCCTTCGAAGACGGAGCTGAATACAACCCATCTTTCAGTTTCTTGAAATGAGCTTCGTTCTCAATCGGGTTCGCCGCCGGGCCTGCATTAATGGGAAGAAAAAGAAAAAAAAACCAAAATTAAAACGACTGCAATTTTCCTTAAAAAAAACGACTGTAATTTAAAACCAAAATAAAAACAAATATTCTGACTTCGGATGACATTTAAACCAGTGAAATTAAGATTACAAGACTGAAGGAGCTAACCATCTTGCATGCCGAGAGCATTCTGCTGAGAAACCTTAGCTGAAACAAAACGCTTGGGAATCGAGGAAATTGAAACGCGTTGCAGGCGTCCGTGTACAGATGAATAAACACGTAAATACGAAACTGATGACGACGACGACGACGACGACGATGACGGCGGCAGCGGCGAGTAGGTGTGGCAGCAATGGGTGGAAGGAAGAGTCGCCATCTCTCTCTCTCTCTCTCTGTTTCGTTTGTCGGTTTTCGGAACTCAGAGGAGAAATGGGGTGTGGGGTTTTGGGGTGAGGAGGTCGGAGAAGGAAGAGGAGGAGTTAACAAGGAAGATACATGGGAAGCATCGAAGGGGTCGGAGCAAAGAGGACCCTTGAGATCTCCGAAAGGCTGTTTTGTCTCTTGGGTCGGAGCAAAGAGGACCCTTGATGTGAAACACCAGAACACCGTACAGCTTTACCAAGACAAGTTTTGCCTGCCCCTTGATTCCATCTCTAATTAGGTTTTAACTTCGTGATTAAATAATAATAATTACAGTTTAGCAATGAAAGTGCTAAATACAAAGTTGATGACAAAAACGACGTTGGCCCGAGTCTTAAATGGCCCAACTCTTTTGTCGGCCCGTAAATAGTAGTGGACCGAACTTTAGTTTACCTAATGGACTCAATTCCTTTTCAAGAAAAATTTTCATCCATAGGGACATGAAGCAAAGAACGAGGAAATATATCATGTTTGAAACTTTTTTATAAACGAAATATTTAAACTAAGGGTAGAGGATAAATTAATATCGAACTCAACATTTACGAGATTTAAATAATTGCAAATTTCATCATTTTAGCTCAAGAAAACATATGTTTGGCCCTTTAATTACTAAACTGAGGGCGTTGGAGTTTTTAAAATCACACATATCCCTGAGGAAGAGGGATTTTAATTGTTTAATTGCTCATATAAGATTACGGACATTTTTTTAGGCCTCACTTTGTATTTTTTTTCAATGATCCGAATTATTTAGTTTTAGGTCTCAAAGATCACTGTTACAGAACTTTACTCAAATCTAAAATCATTTAACACTCAATCTAAAGTTAAACATCTTAGTCATTTTAAATTTGTCAAATTTTCAAACAAGAGCACTGTTCTAAAAATCTCTGCCTAGGCGCTAGGCAGTTGGTCACCGTCTCAATTAATGTCTAGACGTTTGAAAATTAAGAAATGACGCCTAGACCTGCTGAGGCACTCACCTAGACCGCTTAGGCACTAGCCTAGGTTGAATCTCACTTAGACAGAAAATATATAATTAACTTTCATTTTGCATTTTTTTTTCAATAACTTGTAAGAGACTTGTTCAATACCTAAATGAATACATATTATATGCATGTTCTCCATGTTTTCATTATGTTCCAATACTTTCTAATATATATGTCATTCTATTTTGTAGTTTATAATATGAAATTATATATATTTTACGTTTAAAAAGACACTTAGTTACACGAAATATAATAGATTTACTTAAATCCATCTAATCCGCCTAGCGCTAGGCCCCAGCTCGCTGCTCGACTAGCGCCTATTATCTTGTAGAACCTTGAACAAGAGTAATCATTTACAAAAGATTATAAAATAGACAATTCAAGTCACTAACATAAAATGTGTGACCAAAGGTATCTCTCAAATATCAGCAAAAGAAAATCTGCTTACGAGTGATGCTTTCATTTCTAACTTTAGTTTCTTTTAATTTTCTTGCTAAAGTTTCTTTGTTTTAGTGGTGGATTCTACTTCCCACTTTCTCCCTCTTCCTCTCCCTCTCCCTCTCCCTCTCCCTCTCCCGCTTTGGAACATATATAGTTATTAAATTTTGATGCCTTTTGCCTAAATAAAAGTGTTAGTCATTTCAGTCAATTTTAAAACATACATGTCCAGTAAGTGCTCTTTGATTGTAAATATATATTACTGTTATTCAGTCGGGCTTGGCAATTACAACTTTAAAGTTTAGATGCATTATTTATCCACGAGCACATGATGCTTAATCATATGTTGATTAGGTATTTGACAATGTCAAATAAGTAAAGGGATTATATATTAAGAAAGAGGGTAGGCAACTTTCAGCTGTTCACAATTTGGTTTTGGTATATTCATCTTTTTCCTCTCTTCGGAGCTAAGGAAGGAATTTCAGCCCTTGACATGGGCGTCAAAATCAAACCCATGCATATATATTGGTGCTGAGTGCCGACTGGTGTGGACTGGTGTGGTAGGGTATATTGCTACTTTCTACTCGCCACCCTCAAACCTGCAAAGTTCCTGAATCTAATACAATATTATTCACTCCAAATTAGAATGAGCGCACACAGGAAGTATGACTTGTCTGAGTGTTTTCTCCTCCTTTTTAGGGTTAGGGCAATGTGAAAAGTATTTAGATATTTAATGTCAAGAAATTTAAGAATCTCAACTACAAAATTATTAATAAACATGTCGGTATTGAGGGGAAAAAATTGCAACAAACAATTATAATTCAAATAAAACGGACAACAAAGATATATCATCAACTTGGTGTTTATTTAGTCTCAAGAAAGCATTTAGTTATCAAATAACTAATAGGAAAAGTAATTTTGTTTATGAGAACATTATGTGTTAATTCATAGGTTAGGTCTACACCTTTTTTTAATACATTCGATATTATCTACCCTAAGGGGTGGATGAATAAGCTAAAGAAGGGCTAGCCATAATAATTTGATTTGAATTTGTTTTTGGTAAAAATCGAATTTGAGACCTCTCACTTACAATCAGCTAAGCATTAAAAAAAAATGATTTGGAGTGGAATAGATCACACCAAATCACCTTTAGATCGATACATGTAATTGATCTCTATCAAAAAAATATACATAGAAAATAATTGAACAAAACATAAATTCTTTTTAAATTAATAAGCATTCATCAGTATAATGATAAACTCTCTCAGACAATAATTTTCTTAGTCCATAGTATTTAATTATAGAAGTTTTACTACATATATCTTTAGTTGTTAGTTTTTAATTTTTCAGCTATAAATGAAGAAAAATGAATGACAAAATGAAGAAATGATGGCAAAAGAAACGTGAAAAGAATGTGTATGGAATGACACAAAGTAAAAACTACAAACAAAAAAAAAAATGGAACAGATAGTTTCAAGTTTTTGATTTCATATAATCTTCATTTATTTATCTCCCCCTCCCCCGACGCCACATCCCTTCATTCTTCTTTCATCTCCACTACAATAAGTAAAAAACTAAAAATAACTAGTTATTTTTGTCACTGACAAAAATACTTGGAGTAAAACGGGCAAAAATGTCAGGGAAAATAGTTGAACCGTACTTTTTTCTTTATAATGCATTTCCCCATTTCATTTTCTTTGGTTTCTCTAATAACTAAATATACATGACAGCAAATGGCATTATATATGGCAATTACCATTAGAAAATTGTTATTGTAAATTGTAATCCGTAACTAATATCACAAATTAAGTACCAAAAAGAAAGGAATAAAAAAAACCCCTCTTGTCAAGAATCATGCTTCAAGCTACAAATGTCATAGAATAACTACACCAACTGTTGGAGCAATATTAAAAAATATGAAAAATAACAATATAATTCCAATGATAATAATCATAAAGAAATTCACAACATCAATTATATATGAGATTAATATAAACAACTAGAGAGAAAGTTAGAATAATTGACAAACTTGGAGATTGAGTCTTGCATAAATGCAATGTCCTAAAGATAAAATTTCGCCCTACTCTTGTGCTTGTAGTTCGGTAGGCGTCTATCTTCAGGATTCAACAATCTATAATCTGAAGTCAAAGCACTTCAATCTTCAGACTCTGCCGAACTTTATATATGTCGTACTCTCAAGACACGACTCAGAATTTGACACACAAAGCATGAGAGAAACAAAGTGGGAAAACCCTATTTCTCAAGAGGAAAAATTAACTCTAATTTTCTATATATAATACCAATGGTTTCATGGGTTTATATAAAATCCAATTTCTGCTTATTAAAGAGATGTAACTTTTCATCTATAAGTATACATCACTTATCAAGGGAATACACCTAAACAACATAACCTTTCTAAGAAATTGGTTAACAATATTTTTCATTCAATTATTAAAATTATATATTACAATATTTCAGATTATAATATATAATTTCCAACACCTACTAATTTATTAAATCTGTTTTCAATGATCGGGTACCCAACATATATTAATCATGCTTTACAACAAACCAAATTTCTAGCTTCAAGCCACCTTTGCTTATTAACCCTTGCAATGAAGTCTTCAACTCTTTTGTTTAGTTCCTCAGCAGGCATTAAAGCCTCATCTTCTTCTCGTTCTTCCTTTTCCTCCTTTTTTCCCTCCATTTTTTCTTCTTCTTTTTCTTCTTCCTTTTCTTCTTCAGCGTTTTCCCCACATTCTTTAAAGTCTTCCTCGTCATGACCATGATCATGCTTGTCATCTTGTTTACCTTCATCAACTTCTTTATCTTCAATACTCTCCGCATTGCCCTCGTTTATCGGATTCAACATTTCCGGCAAGGTCCTCTCCTCTTTCTTCTCTTGAAACGTGGAGAGTGGTCTCCTGAGATTCCGACTTCTCTCAACATACTCGTTGTACATCTCAGTGACTGGAGACGATTGCTTGCTGCTGCTGAGCCTTGATTCTCCAATAAGGAATACGACTATAAAATTCACCACAATGAAGAGGCACTTGGGGTTGTTAAACCCCGACCAAGAATTTGGAAGGGAAATAAATAACAAATGTTTGATGGTGTAGAGAGAAGGAAACGAATAAGAGTATGAACAAAGCAAACTGCATGTCACCGCAATAAGAGCATGAACAATAAGACTGTAAAGAAATTGATTACTCTTGTTGTAGTTCTGCTTCTTCTTGTAGCATTTCATGGCTCCAAGCTTTTCGGCCTTGATTTGATCCATTAATTCCTCAAATGGAAGTATGAGGAATTTAGAGGGATAAGTTGTATATATTCTGATATATACCGTGAGGAATTGTATTCACATCTGACTGAACGTAAATAAGGTAAAACGAGGAGTTATATATAGTGAAGTGGGGGTGGGGGGTGGGGGAGGTGTTATTTTGGTTAATTTGTGGAATTCAAGGCATGCATGCAACTTTATAAAATTATTGTTAATGTTTCTTATTAGTTTTGAGTGTGGGGGTATGTATTACTTTATGAAAAGCCATGGCAGATTTTGAGAATGTCTTGAAAAATGCTAAAGAAATTCTCTAAAAATAAGACTCTTTTTAGATTCTCTGCCACCTCATATTTTTACATAATATTTGTAATGTTGGCATATAAATTAAAGTTAATTTGTAAGGTGACACATAATTTATTAAAAGTTCTACTTTCAAAGAGTCTTATTAGCATTTCTCGTGCGTTGATTTGGGTGCTCTTGTTTTCCAGCCTCCGAATAGCCTTTCAAAATTCCTTTTCTGGAGTGGTGTGGTGTTTGATGGTTTTCAACTTTTCTCTTCTGAGGTAAGAAACGTACATTTGCATCAGCAACGATTTATAAAAGTTAGCTACTGGTTTTGCAATTCGATGGGTGGTTTTGTCGCACTCGTACGTCCATGTTACATCAGCCCTATTTTATTCTTTATAATTAGGGTTTATAGAAATTAGAGAACAACAATATAGCTTCCTTCCTGAGCATTAACCATTTTCTTAATCTATGCTGCAAAATAAATGTAACTAAATACACAGTATACACACACACACACACACACTATGCGTATGCATGTACGCAAGCATGTCATGACTCGAGGTGGCTTTTCTCTTTATACATTAGCCCATCCTTGATCTTTTTATAAAGTACAACGGAGGACCTCAAAAACAAAACGAAGCATAAATTTAATAAATCAAAACATGGCTTTTTCTCTTTAAATATGCTCATCGATTTTTGTATAACATTTACAAAAAAATTAATGCGTTATTTTTGTATATTGGTTAGTATCGTACAGTGATTTAAAAGGTAGTAAGCACTTGGAGTACTTAGACTTTTGCCATAAAAAAAGAGCTTGCCATTCCCTAATTAATTATATAGGGTAGGCGCTGGGCACTGAGGAGAGATCAATATATACGACATTAATATACCCTAGTATATGCCCCAAAGGCCTTTTTTTGTTGCTTTTTTGCCCTAAAAAGTTGATATGCCAACGGCACATGTGTTGAACGAAGAGAAAAAGCACTTTGTAAAGGAGCTCGGGGACGACGTCGTAGTCAATAACTCAAAACAAAGGAGTTCAAAGATTGACGAAATGGAACTGGAAGGTATAGTTTAGTCATGACATTAACAAGAATTAGCATGATCAATTAGCTTAGTTTGATCAAATTGTTCTCTGTATGGTTCCAGATATATGGAGCCCTGTAGAAAATTAATTATGAATATTCTTGAAGCGGCTAGTGCTCTAAAAAAAATAAGGGTAAAAGGAAATCACCAAAGTCCAAACCTACATTCCACAAAGAGGGTAGGAGAGAGTTATTGAGGTGAAACGCTTTATAGTGATTAGAAGGAAGTCGACATTCATTTTGAAACTAATTGATAAACATTCATACATGTCTCTTAATTTTTCGATATGAGACAATACTATTTTAAATTTTACACGATCATCACATACGATCAGCGTTTGAAATATCCTGGATATGCTCGATATTTCCACAAAAATATCCAAAAATTCAAGGAACGATATGGAAAGAGGGGGTGAAGACTTTACACTATACATCCACGATATTTCCGGAAATCAGTCAATTTCCTAGATATTTTCGATATTTACAGAAAATATCTAGTGTTTGAAGACAATTTGCAAAAAGTTCACAGGAAATATCCATGAGCCTATCCATTCTTTATTTATTTTATTTTTTTATAGAAAACTTCATTTTAATCCTTAAAAAAGATGAGTTTTAGACTATAACCTTGTGTAAGATTAAAATCCAATTTTAGTCCCTAGTACATTTAATCATATCATTTATTAGTTATATTTTGATGTTTTATTTATCTTTTTATTTTTATTTTAATGTATTAATTACATTTAAATATAATTTTTATTTCATTCATCATAATATATTTTAATGTCTACATTTAGGGAACTAATTTTTTTATAATATATATTCCAATAACAATTTTTTATGTTCTTCATTTAGGTACATTAATACATTTGAATATTTTGGTATATCCATCGGTACAAACATATAATTACATTGATTCAATACAATGCATTTCGTTACGTACATTTTGATGCACACATTTGAGTATTGACTTTTAGGTACACTAATTCAATGTATTATATTTCGGTACATACATTTAGGTATGTACATTTTGGTACATACATTTAGGTACGTACATTTTGGTACATACATTTTAGTATTGACATTTAGGTACATACATTTCGGTATTGACATTTAGGTACATACATTTCGGTATTGACATTTAGGTACATTAATTCAATATAATACATTTAGGTTCATTATATTATATTTCGGTACAATCATGTAGGTACAAATATTTCAGTACGAAAAAGTCAATTATATATTTCGGCACAATCATTTCTGTACACTTATGTATTTATATATTTTTGTATCACAAATTTCTTTTAATATTTTCTCATTTACATTCATTCATAATTAAAAAAAAACTAAATATGTGCATATTAATAAAATTAAAATTTAATGTGGAGAGATTAAATAAAAATACACATTAAATAACAAATATTGAATGTAAATTTTGATAAAAGTACACTTCAAGGGATTAAATTGAATATGTAATCTAGCACTAGGTTTTTTTTTTAAATTTTAATCTCTTACAAGTACTAATGTTCAAAAACCCCTTTTTTTTTAATTTCTTTCTTTATGGTATTAGTTTACTTCAATAAAACTTGTACTACTTCATGACAAAAATTTCAATTAAGTTATGTATAATTTATTCTTTCTAGTGAAATGCTTTATTTTATTACTTGTCATTATAAGGATGTTTTTCTTCTCACATATCGCATACTTATTGTTTACACAATATATAATCATTAATTCTTGATTCATAGGTGTGTTGTGGTTTCATATGACATTCCCTAAAAAATAACTTTAAATTTTCATGTTTTTGAGCAAATTTCCATCATTTCCATCGAAGGCAATCGATATCGATATAGATATACGATATATCCATCAATATTTCCACAAATTTGCCCACTAATATTTCTACTGATACTAATATTTTAAATACTGCATACGACAACACTCAAGTCAAATATATGATCAATACATATTGGATGATGTGAAGTATGTGTGCTAGCTAGTTGTCGAACTTTCACAAGTGGATCGATCGATCAACTTGTTCTTATACCACAGAGGGCTAGTTTGGTATTGTTGTGCTTAAAAAAAAAAAAAACAAAAAAAAAAAAACAGTTTTTATTGTGCTGTAAGAATTAACAGCTGTAAAATAACGTTATTGAGTGTTTGGTAAACACCTTTTTGTAAAAGTGCTTTTAACAAAAAAAAAAAGTGTATAAGTGTTTGGTAAATTTTTATATAAATTGCTTTGAGTATGTTAAATGACTAAAAATGATATGGCCATTAATGTGATATAATAATTGTCAACAAGAATAATGTGAGGGGCAATGATTGTAATTTTGTAAAATATGGGGGGGTATACTTAATATTTGAAAATTTCGTTAAATGGGTAAAAATATCTTTTTAGAATCATGGTAAACCCTGCTTCTGTTTTTTTATACTTTTCTACTGTCATTGACCACAATTTATAATATAAAAAAAAACACTTTCTTTGTTTTATCAAATATATATTTGATGTTTTAAATTTTTTCATAAGTTGTTTCTTTTTTTTAAGTTCCAAATCAGCCCAGAATTTGAGATTTCAACCCAAAATTAATTGAAAAAGGAAATTTACTTTTCTACAGAGAATAGCACCCTGCAGACTCTCACGGCATGGAGAGTGGCGGGTTGTAAAGCAAGGCCATATAGGTAACTTGCGTTTGAATCTAATTAAGCACGCTTTCTAATATTTTATTTCAACATTATTCAGTAGCACCCTTCCCTTTTTCCAAATTTTGAATTCTCCATGTACCATATTTGATTGTTGACCCATATATCTGGCAATGCATATTCATATAGAGCAAGTATATGCTTGTTGCTCCTTTTTTATCGTCTTTTGGAACCCAAATGTTCAATGCATAGGCATCTGCTTTTTACAAAATGGACGGCTTAGAGATTCTCCTAGACTCCTACAAAATAACTTCCACTTCTTACCAGAGAGAGAGAGAGACACACACACACAAACACACACACACAAAGTGGAGTCCATATGTATTTGGACGTGAATGAAGCTTCACAGAAGGACTCAAAAGCATTGCTTTTGTCTCCACAACTAGAACCATGCATAGTATTTTGCAGCAAACCAAACAGGGGTGTTAAAATTACTTTCTTCTATCAACGTGGAACATATAATTGTAACATGTGATCGAATAATGAGCTAGCTAGATATCTTTTCCATTTTATATTGTGGCAGATATTTATAGACCGACTTTAATAGTATAAGAAAATATACTGATGCTGTTGTATCCTTGATATTTATTACTAGATGTGAAACAACTTTTGTAACCCGAATTCTTGACTAAGAAATATTCAGTCCTTGAAAAAAAAATAATTGGTAACAACGAAACAAATTTGCCTTAAGGATTAAGAAGTCTCCAAACGTGGGTTTATTTGGCACTTCAGGCCCTCAAAGCTCGAGCAATCAAGCAAAGCAGTTCCGGCACCGATGATTTAATTTGAAAGATTAATTTGAAGAGTTAAAAGATAAACACACTGTATAGAATTGAAAACAAGGTAGGTTTTGAGAATGTATTCATTTGGGTGCTTTTGTTTTAGGGTTTAGGGTTTCAATTTTCCTCTTCTGAAATAAGAAACATACATTTGCATCACCAAACGACTTTATGAAGGCAAGCTGCTGGTTTCTGCAATAGCATAGGTGGTATGATCGTACATGT